TTAAGGATTTACAAAGAGAGATTATTGCTTTGAAAGAAAATTCTGAAGAAGATTTGTCATATAATCAGAATGCTTTGGATGTTGTAAGAAAAGAGTGTGAAGAAGAGTAAAAACGTGGAGTAAATTTAATAAAGATTTGTTTAACAAACTCCAAAAAGTCCAGTGTGAACTTAATGATGAAAGAAACTCTCGAGGTAGAAAACATACCGAGACTGAGGACTTCACTGATAAACTTCATAAGTTTGAGAGTGATCTGGATGAGATTAGAAAGTTACTGAACTTTGAAAAGGAGAAAATTTTGGAAGCTGAGAAGAGTTTGGATGTTGAAAGGAATGAATCTGAGAAAGAGAAGAAGAGATTTGTTGAAGTTGAAAGAAGATTTGGTGCGAAACGGATATCTTATGAAAATAAGATCAACTCTCTTGAGCTGAACGCTAAATTGCTTTTAAAGCAAATCTCAGATTTTGAGTAGCTGATTATCTTGGAACGAGCCAAGATAGATAAAGAGAAGAATGACATCAGAGAAGAATGTCTAAGTCAGAATCATAAAATGTCTGACTGCAATGCTAAAAAACAAAAGGCTTTAAACGAAGAGAAGAAACTAGTTGCGCTTGAAAAGCGAAATACTGCAAAGAAATATGCAGCAATAGCTAAAGAGCTTGGAGAAAAGAAAAAGTGGCTCGATATTGCTTCTGAAAATGAGAAAAGTAGCTCAGATGAAGAGAGAAGAGAGTTTGACAATCAGAAGAAGAAATTTGAGAAGTTGAAGAAGGATTTAGAAGGTAAACTCTTGGATACTTCAAAGAAATTGTTTGATATGAAGACCGAACTTGAAACTGAACTGAAGATGAGAACTGAACTTAAAGAGAAGTATGATTTAGTTGCTGATGAACAAGACTAGCTTTTAAAGAAAGTCAAAGATTTTTCTTGTGCTCAAAGCTTAACTGGTTCTCCCTCATAGTGTAAAACCAGTTTTTATGACTGTTCCAAATCGAGTAGTTATTCAAGCAGCCCTAAATCTACTATTTCTAAGAACTATTCTCGTTCTTCTAATCAGTATTATCAAAGGTACGTCATTGGATCACCCAATTATTCTTCTAAAGTTAAAAGCATTTGGGTTAATAAGTCTGAATCTGTTGCGTCCCGTAATTCTGTTGTTACTAATAATAATCTTTCTTGTTTTGTGAGATCCACTTCTGACTTGATAAATCTTAGCAAGAGAAGAATCATTTGCTCCACATTCAAGAATACTGATTTTGTGAACAGGAAAAGGTACAACAGCTGGACTGGAGACATCATATTTCAGAAGAATTGGAAAGGTAATAACATGTATGATCAAAATAATTAGTATGGATCCTACAACGTATATAATCATTCTGTTAAAAGTGATTGAAAGAAAACATCAAATAAAAATAGATGGTTTGACATTTATAATATCCCACAACCTGATACTAACAAAGAAGGACCCAAGTTCGTTTGGGTACAAAAATATGTCTAATCTTATTTTACAGGTGCGTCATTACTGCGCTGATCAAAAATTCATACAGATGATGCACTAATTTAGGGGGAGTTGTAAACTGTTCAAACAAAGGCTTCTAAACAACACAGTTCGGACCCGTGTTCTAATGTTTGTGGTTTCTAAACACCCAGTTTAGGACCCGTGCTAAATATGTTTCCAATTTTTTTTTTAATTTTTGAGCTGAATCGAAATATTTCTTAAATCTATTTTCTAGGGGGAGTCTCTAGAAATTTTAATAAAAGTTTTTGGAAAATGCAACTGTTTTTCGGAAACGAGTACATTTTTCTGAACATGTATTTCCTGATATTTTACTTGCGTAATTTCTCATCAAACATAACGCTAATACTTGTTTCAACTATTCTTGAAATTGTTATCATCACGTCTCTTATAATAATATCATTTTCGGTGATAATACACTCGTTTGTATTCAAAGGTTATTTTTCTGATATTTTCTTACCTTGATTGATATACATTTGTTAATTCTTTCAATATCAGAATCTGTAAACTTGTTCTTATAGATCTTCGTTCTTTTCTTTCACATTCTGAATAATCTGATTTCATACATCACTCCTTGATTGCTTGTGCTTCAAAGAAATATCTTGATCAATTTCTTATCTGATCATTGTGCTTTATAGTAATAATATTTTTAATCAACTGTTGTGATCAACTGAGCATATATTGCTAAATTTTAGGAGGGACTGAGTGCTTAACAAAAATATCTCTATGGAATGTCAGAACCGACAAACCTACCCAAGAGGACAACCATATCTAAGTGAGCATTAAATTCAAAAAGGGTTTGTGTGCAAAGTTTAAAATGAAAGAGAGAGGGGTAGTTGTTGTGAGACTAAAAGAATGGATGAGAGTTGTGTCATGATTAAAAGATTACAAGAATCTTGTTCCAAACTTCTAAATACCGGGCATACCACATAATCTATTAGTTCTCAATTCTTTCGAGGCTAATATTGAAAAAGGCAAATCCCAGGCCAATTCTTGTCACAACCCCACCAGCTACTTATTTATCTCTTAACAGATAAGTGTTTCAGTAACACTTGGGGCACGCAACTCACTATCTATCAATTTCTCATTCGGAGAAAGTGGATATTGAAAAAGTAGGATATATGTCCCCCCTTCAAGTCTTTTTGATCACATATTGAGTCTGATAAATTTGTGTAGACCACACGATTTATCTTTTTCAGCCTAAACAGAAGCATATGTTGCTTTATCTTTCTACATTACATAGATTTTGTAAATTATATGTCATTTTGCCGAAACATTCATAGATATAATTTTATAAGGTATCAATGATTGAATGGAAGACCTGGTGAGATGAACCTCAAAAAGTCTCATATATACATTACATTCATTGTACTAAGTATATCTGTTATACTCACAAGCCAATCTTTTTATAAGATTGAAAACAATTTCATACGTTGAAATTGGTTGTTATCTTCCCATTCCCTTAATCTAAAAAGATTATACAAGTGGATTTGAAAAGATCTACTTACAATTTTATGAATTGACGGCTTTCGCTGAAAATTTCATTCATTCTTGTTTATGATGCTAATGATTCTCATTTCATCATAAGGGGGAGTATGAAATAATGAATGAAATGTTCAATTCCGAATGATATAAAGGGAATATGTTGTAAAAGTCAAGGGAGAGTAACATCAAAGTCGGCAAAAGACTCAAAGGAGTGTGACTGTAGATTATTACTGAAGATTATTCTTGTGCTAAAATGTCCGAGAGTTTTTGAATGTGAAGATCATCGTTTCAAAAGTTTACTGACAGAGATTTCTCATTGAAGTGAATGTTTGTGAATCGTTATATGAAGAAGTTTGTTTTTTGGAAATAATGTTAGTGGTTTGCTTGTCTGAAAATTCTTTGAAGATCATATCTTGAAGATTATATCTGAAGATTGTTGTTGTTTTTGTTCTACATTGTCAAATGAGAAGATCAATGTTCTTCTACATTCGAGGGGGAGAATGTTAGAAGATATTCTCATCAAAAGATCGTCTGAAGATTTTGAAGTAAAAGATTGTTTTCGAAGAAGTCATAAAGAGTTTAAAGAGACAAAGTTCAAACGAGATTCAAAGCGCGCAAATTCTTTCAAGTCTGAATACAAAGGGGGAGAATGTTAGGACTGAATTTCAGTATAAATTGTATTCGTCTTGAAAGATAAATATTGTCTATAATTGTTGTAAAGTCATCGTGTTTGACTTTGTATGTACTTTGACTTTGACTAGTGGGGTTCATGTTTGACCCTATAAATAGGATTTGTTCTTTGTAATTTTGTATGAGCTTCATTGTAAATTTCAGTTACGTAATAATAGAGTTTGACCAAACTTTGAAGGTTTGACCTATTCTCTCAAACTCCTTCCAGGCTCTTAATGTTCAAATCTAGATCTGCATGAATGTATGAAGGTTTTATGAAGATTGATCTTAAAGTGACCTAACAGTCCTCCAATAAGATTTTGTGCATACAAACCGAGGGACTCAACCCTTTGATATCCGTTATCTTCCAAACAATCGCCTCCTTATGCTCCTTAAACACACTCACCAACCTTTATTCTTCATCGCTTTATACCTTAGTAGAAATGATCACCGGTAAAATGTTGTCTTGGCCTAAAAAGGCATACTTCAAATGGCTTGGTAATTCCTTCAACTCAAGTACAGGGGCCTACACAATAGAAGGAAACAAATTTGTGCAAGAAGAAGGTAAATTAACATTTGATACCTCAAATTTCTTGTGTAGGTATGATTCCATAGTCGAGACCATCTTCTTGAGCGTCGATCCTAACTCATACTCTTCCATCATATTAACTGCTTTTGCATCTAAGTGCCTTGTGATTGAATCCTCTAACAAATAAATGTTAGTCAACAAAATTGACAGACGAGACATCACTGGGATATCTTATGGCATTATATATATTAAACTTGATTATTTCACCATCAAACTCCATAGTTAATGTACCATCATGAACATCAATCTTAGTTTTTGATGTTTTTAGAAATGGTCTTCCAACAATATCAAAGGTGATTCGAAGGTATGATTATGCTCCTCCATATCTATGACATAGAAATCAGATGGGAAGACCAGTTCATTTACTTGAACCAGAACATCCTCAAGGATTCTCTTGGGATACACATTAGACCTGTCGACGAGTTGTATAATAACTCCCGTCCTTTTAAGAGGTCCCACATTCAATGATGAATAAATTGAGTAAGGAGTGACATTTGTAGAAGCCCCTAAATCTAACATGGCTTTATCAATTAAAACATTCCCTAACTTACAAGGAATAGTAAACATACATAGGTCTTTGCACTTAAGGGCCATCTTGCTCCTTGAAGGACGGCGGAGACGTTCTTGCCCATGCTTACCTTCTTCTTCCTAATCAACTTCCTCTTGCTTCTACACAATTCCTTCAAAAACTTGGCATATCGAGGTACTCTTTCAATAGCATCTAGAAGTGGAATATTTACCTCAACTCGACAAAAAAGTTTCTATGATCTCCTTGTCTTCTTGATCCTTCTTTGATTGCTTGAATCTCTTTGGAAACGGTGGTTGGATGATCACTTCGTGTGTTGCACCTTTTCCCTCAACAATCTTTTCTTCAACTATTTCCTCACTTTGTTTGGTCCCCATAATCTTGGCCTCTTTCTCTTCTTTCCTCTGGCTCTTTTTCACCTTAAGTTCAGATCCGGTACCGTCCTGATTCCTGTAGAAATTGTTGAGTGTTAGTAAGCAAGAGATTTAACAATATCTTTCAAGGACATACCTGAACTGCTTGAAGCTTGGTTGTTAAGCTAAAATTTTGACTTTTGTTGGAAAGGTTGTTGGAACTGCCTTTGTCGAAATTGCTCAGGAGGTCTTTGAGCTCCAAAATTCAAACTATAGAACCTTTGATGGGGTTGTCGGGCCTGAATTAACATCATCTAGGGTAACCATGACACCTTCTTGTAATTATGGACATGCATATGTAGGATGGTTCACCTCCTTGCAAATGCCAGATGCCTTTACCTGTTCTTTCTCCACTACCAACTGCTAAATCAGGTTAGTCAAATCATATAATTTAATTTCAATGCTAGCGACATTTACCTCATTTGCGCTTTAGGATTCTCTTCTTATGTCACCAAGAACACTAAAACGTTGAGAATTCTCAGCCATAGTGGGGATTAAGGCCCTTACTTGATATGGGGTTGTATTAAATATTTCCCCTCCGCTAGCGGCATCTATAATTTTCCTCTCAATAGGAAGGAGACCCTCATAAAAGTATTGGAAAAGAAGTTGCTTAGAAATTCCATGTTGTGGGCAATAACACAAAGATGTTTGAATCTCTCTCAATATTCATGAAGAGTTTCTACATCTCTTTGTTTTATGCCACAAATTTCCCTACGAAGTATGGCAGCTCGAGAGGCAAAAAATAACTTATCTAAAAATAACCTCGCCATTTGGTTCCAAGTCGCTACCGAAATAGGGGGTACCGAATATAGCCTATCCTTATCCCGATCTTTTAAAGAAAAAGGAAATGCCTTTAAATTGAGATCGTACATGACCTCATTAGGTTTCACACTCAAAAACACTACATGGAATTCCTTGAGGTGCTTGTTAGGGTCCTCATTCTCCAAACCATGATAGGTGGGAAGGAGATGGACCAAACCAGTTTTTATAACAAAATTAGTATTACCTTGAGGATACTTGATACATATAGGCACTTGGGCAACATCATGTATCGCCCACTCTTGGAGAGTCTACTCATCTTCGTCAGCCATCTTGACTTTTGGCTCATTTTCTTCCTCTTCTTCGAACTAAGAACCCTCTATATTTGGTTCCTGCACTTCGCTTTTGGAATCGGATGGTAAATCAATATCTTTCCAGATGTTGATTACCTGCGAACTTGAAGATTTTCCTTGCGATTTTTGGATCCTAGCTAGCTTCTTTAATCGCTTCGTTGTTCGCTTTATTTCTGAATCTATGGGTTGCGGCGTACTTGTACATGAAGATCTAGTCATAAACCATTAGAAATAATGAGTACCCAACAACGACACCAAAAATTTTACGGATGCCGAGTCCACCAAATAATAAGTTCCAACTATTGGACAATTACAATCAAAATTGTAATAGCGGTAAGTTGGGTGAAACCACAGGGACTTCTTTTAACTTATTATTTCCGAAGACTTCAAGTACAAGAACAAATAATTAAAAGTAAATACGAAAAGAAGGGGTTGGATTTGATGAACTAGACTAAACATGCAATAAAAATTAGTTACAACGATTAATTAAAAATCCAACATTAGTTCAATTTCGATGAAAATGTTGTAGTACCTATCATTGATTCCAAGAGTGTAAACATGTACAACAAATCCAAGTTGATTATAGTCGTTAAGAAGCTCTAACAACCTCTATTTTTTTCTTAAATTTACTCCGGCTAAACTAAGATCTTTAATTGGATCTTAATCATAAATAAGAAATTGAATAAGTTCTCAAGTTCACAGACGTAATTAGCTTTATCGAACTAGAAAAACATCATCTCAAAGTTATAAGCTCGTTAGCTTGACCCATTAAGGCTTTGAGTGCAATACTTCAAGAATCCAATTCAGAAACTTTATTGATACCAAATGAATTCCGTCGTTATTTTATTAAAGGTCTAAGACAATTACTTATCAAAGTCTTAGAATAACAATTTTCCATAAGAATTTCAAACTAATTGATCAGACCAAATGAACATGAAAATGAAATTGATATTAAAAACAAAAATCAAAGAAATAAGTTTGTTCCAAACGATTAGAATGAAACCTCAAGGTACCAACCATCAAGAGCTAAACAAACCAATGTCGGGATGAAAAGATTTAGCCACACATGGCTAAACCAACGTTACAATTGCATAGAATCTGGAAATTTACCTAAAAATTAGAACCAATCAGATGAGCTCTTACTTCCAAAATCATCCTATACTCCTTGGAAAATCTCAGAAATTGTCCCCCTCAAAACAGTTTCAATCAAGCCTTTTATACCCTTGAGAAGAAACCAACTAAGAATCAACAAAAAATATGTATCTTGTTGGTCCCGGTTGGATCTACAAGATTTTTATAGAAACAATTTGTAGAAGGGGGAGATGAATACAAACACAGAGAACTTTCAAATTTAAAAATATATATTGATAAAAAAATATCAATACAGATTTTTACAAGATTGTATGCGAAAATAGACAAGATAAAGATAACCTATCTAAAACAATCTAAGTTTACACACCGATATTCTTAGCAAAATAGAAAAGATTTGTTGTAAGATAAAGAAGGAAATAAGTTCTTCTTGGGTAAGAAATTTTAGAATACTTGAGAGGAATTCTAACTTGCTTGAAGATAAACGTAAGTGTTCTTAGATGTGTGTGTGTTTTCACGTAAGAATTATCTCTGCATGGAGAGAGTGCACATCTATTTATACCCATTGCATTAATTGCACATTTAATGCAATGTAGTAGGGTTTGAACACGCGTCAAGCTTTTAAAGAAAAGCTTTTCCATTGCTATAGTGAATAGTACAAAAGTCTATTCATGAACAAACATCCTTTCGTGGAGTTGGTGGGTAATAGAGTCAACTAGTCGGCTTCGTACTGTACATTACTCTAGAAAGGGTATGGGTTTGTCCTTTGCGTGTGGAAGGACAAAACAAAAACAATCTTGCACAACAAGCTTCATTTGATTGCTGAATGCTGGAATAACACTGAAGGTCTCTTCAGCATTCCCTGAGCTTGGGCAGTCTTCACACATATGTTGACCAGGTTGTAATCACTGAATGTCGCTTTAGATTACGAATGCGCTAGTCACTAATCTTTAGTCTCATTCTTTGAATTTCACTGAAGGTTCTTTGGTGTGACTTCTGTATGATTTATAATACATGTTTCAACGATCACTGAACAGACTCAGTGACGATCGTTGGAACTGAAAGAACATAAACATAATACTTCGAAGTAGGTAAAAGGGATTATAATCAAATCAATGAGAGAGAGGATCAACAATCTCCCCCTATTGATGATAACAAAGCGACATAAAGAAAGTTGCCTTATCAGATAATGGTAGGCAAAAGTTATATATAAAGTACATGTCCTTTTTTACTATTTTGGGATCTTTTTCAGTGAGTCAGTTTTTTACTTAAAAAGTTTTCCTAAGTTACAAGTTTAAGAAAAAGTACAAGAAGAAAAACTGAAACTGAAAGCATGTTCACTGACTTATTGATTATCAGTGACTGTAAGAAAACACTGGAACTCATTGACATGTGTCCATATTACTCTTTTCAGAGATATTTTTCAATGATGCAGATGAAATACTTATATTAAATCAAAGGAAAAATTACAAGTTTTTCAGTACATTTCTTAGACTTACAAAATATAAAATTGAACACTGAAAGTAGACATAGAAACAAAAGATATACAGTGAAAGACAAGTTACAAGATAGAATTCTATAACTAATCTAAGTTTCTTAGGTTGATGTAGCCAGGTACTTCTTCTCCGAGCTCCTTTCGACGTAGAAATTCCCTTTTGATATTGTGGTCCATTATTTCACCATATATATCATCGTCTAGCCAAAATTTGATATACGCGATATGTTCCATTGGGCAGAGATGTAACTCATACATTCTTTAAAAGATGACTTCGCCTTCATAATCAAGGAAGATATATCCTAACTCAGGCTTCATGTGCACATTGCAAGTATGGAAGGACCCTTAGCTGGCAATGAAAGATTCAGCATAGAAATGTCTGCCTTCTTCGAAGCCTTCAGGACTTCATCTAAGGAGAACTTTGTTTCATGTTCAATCCTCAGGGTTGGTCCGTCATTATAGACTTGAAGGTATTCTTCTTCCACTTTTCTTCAGTGTTGGATTTTCAGGTACCGCAACATATCTTTACATCTTCTTGATCAGCTCGTCGATGATGTCTTCGTTAATTGGCTTATGTCTTGACTTTGAGCGCTGAATGGCTTGGCGTATCTCCAACCATTCACTGTAGCCATACTAACCAAGGTAGGAAGGGTACTCTGTGACAGCGTCAAGGTTGTCCCTAGTGATGAGCATTGAACTAGAACTCCACCGTCTTTCATCCGTCCGCTGATGGTGGCATTTGAAATTGGGTAAGGACTGATCCTCTTGTTTTGACATTCTTCGCTCCATTTTCTGTCATGCTCGGCCAGCTTCAATGCGTTCTCGCGTTCAGCTTCTGAAATAGAAAGAAGCTTAGCTTGGGCCTTGACATCATTCACCATCTTTTTAGACTTCTTCCTTGGAAGAACTTCAGCAACAAGAGACTTGTCTAGCTTTAAGCTGTCATCAGTCTGTTGTCTTTGAAGTCTGAGTTATTCCTCGGCCTTGAGTGCCTCGAGTCTTTTAGCTTCAGACAGGAAGTCGAACTCACCACAACTAGAGGTATGAAGAGGGATTTTTACTCTAGTATGGTCGAGCGACTCCTTCAGCTGAGACATCTGCTGGTCGGTGGGAGCGCTGGAGGTTGGGTTTTCAGGCACCCATTCCTCTAGCCGACCACAAGTAGTAGAAGGGATGGAGAGTTGATATAGAGAAGTTATGGTGGTAAAGCTGGAGGACTTATTAGATAAGGGCTCTAAAGGTTGGAAAAGTACCTTTAAGTTTCTTTCTTCAACAACACCCTTTTCTTTTGACTTGGTGTTCTCTTTCTTTTCTGGAGTCTCCTTCTCTTTCTCCCCATGCTCCCCCGGGATGCAAAATCCTTGAGAGCGACGCCTTTCATGGCATCTGGAAGGTCTCTGGTACTGTATGGTGAAGTCGTCATCATCGTCGTCTTCATCATCATCGTTACCCAGATCTTCACCAGCGTCAGGAAGGTCGGGAGAATCACCGTCTTCATCTTCATCATCATCTTCCATATCACCAGCATTAGCTGCAAAGGTGATTGGAAGGTCTTCGTCACGAGCTTCAGCGCTAGCTCGGATGGTATCAACATCCTCAGCTTCAGGAGCTTCACAGGAAGTTGGATTTTCATCAGCAACCTCAACTTCAGCTTCAGGATGAGCTTCAGCTTCACTATGATTTGCTGGGACAACAACAGTTTCAGCGGCAACAGCTTCAGCAGCAGCATCTCCAGACTCTGTCTCTCCCTCTTTGGCTATGGCTTTGGAACACTAGCCAAAGAAATGATCCATATTTCGTATCTGAAGCGCCATCATCTCCTCAAGCTTGGTTATAGCATGCGCTAGAAGAACAGTAGCCTTGCGCGTCTGATCTAGCTGCTTGCGATCTTCAGCGTTGAACGACGGTTCAGGTGCTGGTATTGGCTATTGGGCATCATCTCTATATGCTTTACAAGAGCTCTCGTTTCATCGGACTTGCTTGTTAAAGGAGTGATGGCCTCAGTGTTGGCTTACATAGCTATTTGCATAGATGAGAGCTGGTCCTTAACCTCCTTTACTTCAGCCCAAATAGCTAATAGGTTAGTAGATACTTCGTCCCTGAGAGGCATGCCATTATGGACTTCGTCCATTTTGATAAAGACAGTTTCCACAGCAGGAAGGAGTAGCTTCACGTCATCAGCCATGTTGTACTCTTGACCATGGCTGATGTCTCTTCAAAAGGACCTGAAAAGAAGCAAGAATGACCATAAGAGAGCTCTGTGTTAGTAGAAACGAAATGATAGGAAGGTAGAGTACTTGAGGGTTCATCAACGTTATCTGAAGGATTAACATTGGTTCGGTCCAAGTTTCCTTTGAGAGGATTGCCGACTGTTTGCTGAGATGCCTCAAGAAGAGCAATCTCAGGTCCAATGGTGGGTGTTTCATCATCAGGGAGGATAGTTGCTGATCAGTTATAAACACATGTCGAGACCAATGATGGGGGATAGGAGGAAATGGCCAAGACAAATGGACGTGAGTGTTAAGCAGTGGCGATGCTTATATTCTCACCTTCAGTGATTTGGGTCACGGAGGCCGTTGGGAGCTGAGCCACAGGTACGACAGTGACTGTAGGAATCACTGAAGAGATGGGAACGGTAACTGAAAGGGCCTCGCGGGTAAGGCGAGTTTCAATAGCTGAGACCTTTTGAGAGGTCACAGCCAGAGACGTAGGTGTTCCCTTTTTGGCTTTCTTGGCCCTCGATGGAGAACCAAGAGTGGGTTGAGAAGATGGACGTTTGGTAGAAAGGATGGTGGTGGTCAGGATAGACTTCAAGGGGTTTTTCTTAGTCTTAACCACCTTAGAAGGAGAAGAAAGAGAGAAAGAAGAGACAGTTTGCACTATAGCAGAGAGTGCAATGTCTCCATCTCTCAGCTTATGATCCAGAATCCTGGATCCAAGCTTGTAGATAGGAAGGTTACCTTTCTTGGAGTACTTGTCTCTGAAGATTTTGGCGAACACCATGGAAAGAAACCTGGTGTAAGGAACAAATTTCTCCCTCTAGCGCTTGTTTGAAGGGATGTCCAACAAGGCGACATCGTTGTTTGCCTTGAAGGTCACGTCTTCGAGTGAAAGGTTCACGTTCTTGGCGTCCATTGTATGTTAGAGGTAAGAGAGAATGTATAACAGTTTTGTTAGTAGTCCAAGAATAGGATGTGAGCTTTTAAGTTTTAGAGAAATAAAACTTCTTTTGAAAAATCCATAAAAAAAATATTAGGGGTTTTCAAGAAGAATAAGTGTTTTTAAAACTTTAGACTATAACCAAGTATAAGAATGTGTTAATAATCTTAATGTTTGTATTTTAAGAGAACAAGTTCTTAAAGAAACAAACACAGTTTCATTAGAAGAAGAAGAAGAACAGTTCAAAATATTAAAGAAGGGGTATCGACCTTAGAGATTTAGAAGCAAAGGTCGAAGTTTTGGAGCATTCTTAGTTTGTAGTTCTTGCTTGCAAATCTGTTTTGGCAGAGGTTCGTCAAAGATTTTAAAAGCGTAAAGAAAATATGAGAAGAGAAGTCTCAAAGCAACTAGTATTGGTAAAAGAAAAAGTCGTCATTAAAACGGTTCATAATCTATTTCTTTTAAAACAAAAAGGTTTTAAGAAATTCAAAAGCCACTTTCTGAAGAATATGAAAAGGCTTTGAAAGCGTTCAGTGATTAGAAGAATCACTGAATGAAAAGACCTTTTAAAACATTTGATAACTGAAGAAGAAAAACTTCAGTGATGATTTTGTTTTAAGAATGAAAAATATCTTAGAAGAATATATTTTCATAAAAGAGTCAGTGATAAGAGAAACACTGAAACTATATTTTAAAAACAATTGAATTACTAAAAGAAGAAAGGTTCAATGATCATTTTGATTTAAAGAAAATATAAGTATAGTAGAGAGATATACTTACTTAAAATGTTCAGCGATAGAAATAATCACTGAAACAAACTTTTAAAACGTTCTGATCACTAAAGAAGAAAAGCTTTAGTGATAGTTTTAAGTTTTTAAGAAAAAGAGTGAGTATACATACCTTAGACAGAAGAGATATATTTACTCAAGAGTTCAGTGATAGAATGAGAGCACAGAATCATTTCACTTACTGATTGATGCGTATAGCTGAAGGAAATTAATCTTCAGCGTTTAGCATTCTAAATTCGCTGATCAAGATGTTAAATCTTGTCTCGTTAAAAGGCTTTGTGAAAAGGTCAGCGAGTTGGTAATCAGTGGGAACAAAGTGAAGTTCAATATTACCGTTCATAACATGATCTCTGATAAAATGATATCTGATCTCAATATGTTTGGTCTTGGAGTGAAGAACAGGGTTGTTTGTAATAGCAATAGCACTAGTGCTATCACAATAGATAGGAATGTTTGAAAACTGAAGATCGTAGTCGTTAAGCTGGTTTTTCATCCAAAGAACTTGGGCACAACAGCTTCCAACGGCAACGTATTCAGCTTCAATGGTTCATGTGGACACTGAGTTTTGCTTCATACTTGTCCAGCTCACTAACTTTCCACCTAGAAGCTAACAGCCTCCAGTGGCGCTTTTTCTATCAATTTTGTGACCTGCAAAATCACTATCCGAATAACCTATTAGGTCAAAACCTGAACCCTTAGGGTACCAGAGACCCAAGTTAGAAGTTGTCTTCAGGTATCTGAAAATGCATTTTACAGCAATCAGATGAGATTCCTTAGGTTCAGATTGATATTGTGCATATAAGCAAGTAGAATACATGATATTTGGTCGACTAGCTGAGATAACATCATTGATTTTCTTGGGTTCAACAAAAGAAAGAAAGTTGACAAAGAGACAGATATTACCTAGACCACGACGAGTATGAATACCTGCACTTGGATCAGCAAGAATTTGATGAATATGATGGTCTTTTGTCCATCGCTGAGCTGGTAGAGGATTATCATCTGAGCATAGATGTTCAGGAACCGAGGATGAGGCTTTAGCTGCATATTCTTCAGCAATAGGGATAATTACTAAATGAGCCTCAGATTCAGCGACTGATAAAGGTTCAGATGCTGAAGACATTTCATTCACTGATTGATCAGTGTTTGAAGTAGAAGGAGGAACACAACTAATGGGCACTACAACGATCTCTGAAGAAGATACGTTTTGGTGATTAGCTGCAGCTGGAATGATAAGTGGATCATCTTCAACTTCTAGGGCTTCAGCGTTGGGAGGAATGCTGAAGGAAGCTTCAGGTTGTCCAAAATGAGAGAACATCCACTTTTCTAATTCTTCGTCATCATTTATGATGGGTTTAGAATTATCTGATTGAGATTCGTCAAAGGTGACATGAATAGTTTCTTCTATTGTCTGTCGGCGTTTGTTTAATACTCTGAAGGCTTTCGTCATCATTCATGATCACTTTTGATAGACCGTACTTTAATATTATTAAGTACTTCTATTTTCTTGATGAATGAAATTATTTATTTAGGTGCTTCACTTTTGGATCTGAAAAAGAAGACCCAAGTGTACCTGGAATACTCATCAACAATGACGAGGGTATACTTCTTTCCAGCAATAGATTGCACGTTCACTGGACCAAAGAGATCCATGTGCAGTAGCTGAAGAGGTGATGTCAGTGAAGAGATTTGCTTGGACTTGAAGCTAGCTCTTGTCTGTTTTCCTTTCTCACATGCTGAGCAAAGATATTCCTTTGAAAACGTGTGTTGAGGAAGACCAATGACGAGATCATTTCTAGACAACTCACTGAGTGTCTTGAAGTTAAGGTGAGAAAGCCTTTTGTGCCACATCCAGTTGATATCTGACGAAGCTTTAGAGAGAAAAAAACTATTCTCAGTGAGAGAAGAATCCATGTTGATGATATAGACATTCTCTAGACGAGAACCGGTTGAGCAACCTTATCATCCTTGTCGTAGACATAGCATGAATTCTTGGAGAATTTCACTGTGAAATCTTTATCACACAGCTGACTGATGTTGAGTAGGTTGTGCTTCAATCCTTCAACATATGTAACACGCCAGAAAGTGGTTGCATCGTTCGTTAATACACCAAATACTTTGGTATATCCTTTTCCGTTTCCTCCAAAAGACACAGAAGGGCCTCTTCATCCTTGTAGTCGATAAGCAAGGATTTGTCTCCACTCATATGTCTTGAGCATCCACTGTTGAGATAGCAAATGCTTTTGAATTCTTGCATATGGGAACAATTTAAAAATGTATTTGGTACCCATTATATTTGGGTCCAGCAATGTTAGAGGCAACATCTACTGAACCTGAAGAAGAGGTTTCAGTGGGATTAGGAACAACCTTTGATGCTTGAGAAATAGAATTAGTGGGTGTCTTCACTGTGACAGACGAAGAGGCTTCAGTGGTAAGAGGAACAACAACACCTGACGCTGAAGACTTAGTGTCAATAGTTGTCTTCACCGAGCCTGAAGAAGAGGCTCCAGTAGATTTCTTCACCTTAGTTGTTTTAACAACCTTACTGGTAGATTTCACCTTGTTAGATTTCTCAGCCTTGGCTACTTTCTTGCCCTTGGCTAGGGAACTAGCCTTGGCGGCAGAAGGACACTTACTTGCAATATGTATAGTTTCACCACATTGTCTACACTTCCTATAACTGAAGCTAGATTTAGGGCCAGGAAGTTCCAGAGAAGAAAAAAAGGACAATCTCCAAGGATTCCCTTCTCATTAGTTTTAGGAGGAACTTTTGAGGATTTGGAGTCCTTAGGTGAAGCATTCACCTTGAGCTTAGACTTAGATTTCTAAGAAGATTCAGATATCTTGGTCCTTGAAGAAGAAGAAGGTGCACAAGCTGAAGGAATAGATTTAGATCTATGTGACTTGTTAGCCTTGTTAGGAAGAGGTGTTGTGACGATGGATTTACCTTTGTCTTTGCAACCTGAACTCAAAGGAGTTCCATCAAGATGACTCTCAGCAAGTGAAGACTGAGAAGAAGAAGTATCAGGAATAGAAGAGACAAATGTACCAAACTTAAGCATTGACCTGTTTTTGACACTATCTTCCTGATCATAGGAAAATCCTAGACCAGTCGTTATCTTGGCAGTGATCAGCGTTAATGATCTCAGAGGCTTTGACAGAGGCTTTGTACCATCCTTCAATGGTAGCCTTTTCAGCCCTGAGTTCAGCAATTGCCTGCTCACGCTCAACGATAGCCTGTTCAAATTCAATAGTGATGGTTTGGTTTATGATGACCTGAACTTTAAGATCTTTTTCGATCTTTGTCAACTCTTTGATCTTGGAATGACAAATCTTCAACTGTTCTTGAAGATCAAGATTAAGCATTTATGCTTTAGATTTGCCATTCAGGGCATTGTAAAGGTCAACCGTCAATGTATCTAACGCTGATAGGCTAGAAGAGGAAGAAGAAGAGGGCTCATTCAAGATACATACTTAAGCAGGAGAGGATGATGAAGGATCATGGGAAGTTGACGTCTCAGAAGTTTCTTCCTTGACATCCTTGGCCATTAAGCAAAGATAGGTCGTGTATTCCTCATCATAGGATGATTCATCAGGAAAATCAGCCCAGTCATGGTCTTCAGCGACAAGACCTTTGGCCTTTCACTGGGAACTCTTCATCTTCTTATATTTCTTCTTCAGCTTCAAGTATTTATCACCTTTAGCTCTGAAGGAGGAAGGGGATTTCGAAGATGGCATCACAGCCTTCTTTGACCTGCATTCATTTGCAAAGTGACCTTTACAGTGACAACCGTAGCAGACCGCTGAAGTCTTGTCAACAGTATCTGACTTTGGTTTTTCCTTAATGGTCAGCGTGGGAGATCTGTGGAAATTACTTTTCCTGGAAAATTTTCTAAAAGACTTTGTTAAAAGCGCCAGTGATTCATCAAAGTCTGCAAGGACAGACTCTGACAAATCCTCAGAGTTAGTAGAGTCTAACTCAGTTGTAGTAATAGGAGGAAGAACTGAAGAAGAAGAAGAAGATGGGAGTTCAACTGAAGAATCTTTAGAGATTAA